TTTTTTGTGTGTGTGTCTGTTACCACTGTTTCTCAGCTCTCACCGAACCGATTTCTTTCAATGATACGTCAAAAGATCACAAATCGTATCTTGTCGAAGACATTACCCTCAATAATTGAAAAAAAATTCCTTGTTCCCCGTAAATGGAGGAAACCTCCAAAAAAATTAGAAATTTAAAAAACGCTAATATTCGAAATTTTTTCAATTTTTTTTACTTAAAATTTGCATAACTTTTTTAAAAATAACTAAATCAAAATAATTTTTTTTATATAGATGCATGATATCATTGCCTTTCTTTTGGTATATATATTTTTTATATTTGACCCTTTACCTGCCCACAAGGAGAGATTCAAAATGACAACTTTTTCACAAAAAAATTATTTTTTCAACTTAAATTTGAAAGTGTTCCGGAAAGTCTGACACTTTTATATAAATCTTAAATTAAAGCTAATGTAATGTACTTTTTTATTAATTATAGTATAATATTGAAAAAGGGTAAAATAATTTGTTCAAAAATACTATCCGAGGCATTAATAAATTTAGAAGGAATTTTTTGTTGCATAACTTCATTGCATAGAGTTGGACAAACAGAGAATGATTGAAATGGGAGCGTATCATTTAATATTTGTTTTTTCAAAATTCTATTATATACTCTTGTATTGGATATTTATTAGATTTCTTAATGTCATATAAATCATTTTTATATCTAAAACAACTAAAATTATCAAGTGAGCCACGTACAAGTACAAAAGCTGGCAAATTAATTGAACTGTACACATTGTAAGTAATTAAATGAGAGCCATAAAGAGTTGAAAATTTATTAACAAATTTTTTAAGTAGATTAGATGCTAGTTCATTATGAACATTATATGTTTCAAGATTAATTAAAATTCTAATTACACTCACTAACAGTACAAAATGGGAGTAAATTTTTTTTTTTAATTATTTTTTTAAACTATTTGTCCTGAATACAATGAAAATATTCTAAGTTCTGATGCTTTATATTCTATATATTCTATATCATCAAGTAATCTTGGAAGTCTACCATACTCATCAGTTATATAATATCAAATTATTTTTTATTTCATAATTAATGTTTTATATTTATTCTTTTTCTAATCGCACTTCTTTATTACCTTTTAAATATATTTTTCATCATTATTTGTACTTAAAAAAGAAATTAGCATATGTTTTATTTCTAAATACGAGGTGTGTTCAAAAAGTAAGGTGACTTGATATTTTTATGAAAAACTATTTATTTATTCATCAATGTTTATGTTGTCCCCTTCAAAGTAATCCCCCTCAGATGTAATACACTTGTGCTAACGCTTTTTCCAATCTTCGAAACACTTCTGATAAGCACTTTTTGGTATAGCCTTGAGCTCTTTCAGCGATGCAGTTTTTATCTCCCCAATCGTTGCAAATCTTCGTCCTTTCATAGGGTTTTTCAGTTTTGGGAACAGAAAAAAGTCGCATGGGGCTAAATCCGGTGAATATGGTGGCTGAGGCATGATTGTGGTGTTGTTTTTGGCCAAAAAATCTCTCACAAGCAACGATGAGTGAGCAGGTGCATTATCATGATGCAAAAGCCATGAATTGTTTTTCCATAATTCCGGACGTTTTCTTCGTATTGCTTCTCGCAAATGACGCATAACTTCAAGATAATACTCCTTATTGACCGTACGACCTTGTGGTAAGAACTCCTGATGCACTACGCCACGATAATCGAAGAATACCTTGACATTTGATCGAACTTGGCGTGCTTTTTTCGGTCTTGGCTCTCCTGGGCTCTTCCATTGGGACGATTGAACTTTGGTTTCGATGTCATAACCATATACCCATGATTCGTCACCAGTTATGACCCTTTTGAGCAAATCAGGATCATCATTGACGTCATTCAACAGCTCCAGAGCGATGCTCATGCGACGATTCTTCTGGTCAAAATTAAGCAGTTTCGGAACAATCTTCGCTGACACACGTCTTATGCCCAAAATATCCGAAAAAACTTCATGGCACGAGCCAACCGATATGCCAACATCCTCAGCAACTTCTCTGATAGTGATTCGTCGATTTTCCAAAACAATTTTCTTCATTGCTTCAACGTTTTCATCTGTTGTTGACGTGCTGGGACGTCCAGAGCGAGGTTCGTCATTGGCATCTTCTCGGCCATCTTGGAAAAGCTTGTACCACTTATAAATGTTATTTTTACTCAGAGCGGACTCACCGTATGTTACTGTCAACATTTCAAGTCTATTAGAACACTTAATTCCATTTTTGACACAAAATTTGATGCAAATTCTTTGATCCATTTTTTTTTTGATAGCAGAAAATCGCCGAGCACACCAAAATACGTCTAATCTTTGTATCTGTCAAAAACAAACTAAATATGCTATATACTTGAAACTGTGTACAGATGTTCGGTACGAGTGTACCAACATGACATAAAAAAAAATCTAAGATCGAACGGACGTAGCCCGCGAAATTTGAAAAGTCACCTTACTTTTTGAACACACCTCGTATATATAAAAACCGCCAGCTATATCTATAATTTCATGATTTTTTGGAGTTTTCAATAAAGTTCTGATATTTTTGGAAACAATAAAACACATAAGTTAGAATGATTGAAATTAAGTGGTATATAAAAAATATTATGACATTCCGCATGAGTTATTTCTTTAACAGAATTATGTGAAAGTGGTGTATCATTATTAACACTACTCATTACATTCAAATTGCTTACAGATAATGTTAACAAGAAAAGTGTGGGGACACACTTTTCGTGTTCTAGTTTATTTAACTTTTTAAAGTACTTTGTAGAAATATCAGATACTTTTTTGTTCTAAGATTCCAAAAAATAAAAAAAAATAGTTATGTTTTATTAAATGTAAATACATAATTTGTTACGAAATTAATCTTATCAAAAAAGTTGTTGGGTTTACAACAACGATTGATATCGTTAAGATATGAAACGACTTATTTTTAATTGTTAATTGTTAATTCATTTTTTCCCTTAGAATATTTAGAAGATTTTATTTTAAATTAATCAATTCTTGTCTATATATTTTTCTGTTTTATTAAATGTAAGTTTGCAATGTACACTTANTTTTATTAAATGTAAGTTTGCAATGTACACTTAAGCATTTATCTAAAAAAATTACCCCACTTCCCCTTAAAATGATTATTTTTAAAATATTTAATACCACAAAGAACATAAAACTAAATCATATATCATAAATTAGGGTGATATATTAAGAGATACCAAAAATATGAAATTCAATAAGATATATATTACTTTAAATCTTTCTTCAGTGAATGTAAGCATAGTACTGGGTTAGCATGGTTTTCCTTTACTAATGTCAAAAGAAGTACAGGTGGCTAACGTACTAGTAAATTTAGTTCTCTATATGAAAATAACAGAATGTTTTTAAGCTACACTACTCCATATAAAAGTATATTAAGGTGTCTTTAAAATAAATATCACTTCCAATGATACCATTAAGTTTCTTTTCTATCACAAAAATTAGTTTTAAAAAATTTCAGAGCATTATTTAAAAATATTTAATAATCAAAGTAACTATTAACCCTTTGAGTTATACATTTATTTATTATTTTGAAGGTGGTTTCATAAGATACTACACTTAACAATCGCAGTAAAAATATTAAAAAATTGTTTCAATATAATACTTCTAGGGATAGACTAAAACACGACCAAAGGCCCAAGGGTTATTCTGTATTTTAACTTCAGAAGTATATGTTATTGCTCGTCTGCTACGCCTTGTTCGATTTGCAGTTTGAAATTATCTGTATATTGCTAATATAATAATAACTATCGTCGCATAAGCCTTTTCCCGTCCACTGCGGCGAGTTCGCCTCGCTGTCACATAACCGTCCGACTCCTATATAAATTTGAAGCTACCCGTATATTAATAACAGAGTAAAGTGTACAATTATTGGCACCTAAAGAACATTAGCTAGGTTTTAAATAGTTTATTTATTCAGTTACACAAGTTAAATTTTTCTTACTAGAATTTATAAGTCAACAATTTTATATATTAAAATACGGTAGATATATTACACTAAATACCGATTTATATGCTATTGCCCTTCGCTGAGGCGTATTCGCGTTGCCATCGCGTGATAACAACTTTCCGACCACCAGAAATATGTTCAAATAACATAAAGTGCAATTTACTCGTATTTATACAAGTATAGATTTGAGCGTTTAGCCTCACCTACAAATAAATGTGGTCAGTTAAAAATACTAATGAACTCATGTTCTCACCTGATATAATACTTTAACAATAAAAAAAAAACTTTTTTACTTTTTTTAGGTCGTAATTTATTGAGAAACTATTTGTTATAATTAAGTTCTTATATATTAGTTCATGTCCAAAGCTGAAACAATGTTGTTAAAAATTATTATATATTTAATTTACACATATTTTAGTTAGTTTCTTTTTATTAAAATACTCTAAGCTTGTGTGTCAATATGTGTCTTTGATATGAGATTTTTTATGAATACTAAAAATTGAACTGCTTACTAGCTCAAATATCGAATAAAGTGCTTTTTTACAAATTATTCGCATAATATATTCTAAAAGATGCAATTAGGGCATAAAAAATATTGTGTTACATGGATACTACCATTCCTCTTCCTCATTAATAATATAGGGCTTAAGCGAGAAATGTGATTTTAGTATTTCTATGATCTTACTGAGACCTTTTTCAAAAAAAAATAAGCGTAAAAATGTGACGAGATAACTGAGCAGCTTATTATTGTGTTCCTTATAGACATAGTTTTTAATGCTATTACTTTCGTCACATTTATGTTATTAATAACTCAACTTGTTTTTATCAACGACTCGTTTATCGCCTATTATAACCTTTTAAATTATATAACATAAAAATAACATTTATAACTAATAAAATGTATTATTAATAAATAGTTTTTTACGCATTATTTTGCACCCCTACGATTTGGCTCCGGTAAGTATCGAATAAAAAAAAATGAAATTTATCTCTTTAAAATTATTTTTTAGAAAAAGGTTACTATTGTGTCAAAAAAAATTAATTGTCGCTACATTTAATTAATTTTGATTAATTAAATAAGTTTTTTTAGACTTAGCTTCAATTTGAAACTAAGAAAGTATTTGTTTTGTGATCAAGTATGTTTTTTTAATTCCTGTCCATACAAATTTTCTGCTCTCGATTTACCGTTTTTAATGATTAATTCGACAAAAGAATCCGAGTTCAATTTAATTGTACCCATCTTTACCGCAAATTCGAGAAAACACTCTCAATTTTAGAAACTTTGAAAAATAACTTAAAATTGAATATCGTAAAAATGATATTTATTTAGTTCAATTATGTTTTCGTATTTTAATACTTCTATAACTTTGATTTAAAAATTTATGTAATTTCAGTAGGTTATTCTAAAGACAAAACATTTTTTTCAAGCATTGTTTTGTGTTACATTTTTGATATTACTTTTTAACTTTGTGTTTGATACGTTGCTTAAATAAAATAGCTATTTAAAAATCTGGACTTAGCGCAAATGTTTTATATTCACGGTGATCTCGAAATTTGTGTGTGTGTGTGCGGCTAGAGTCTAGGTTGGATTGCTGGTCCTTTAGTCAATCTTAATAATTAGTGTACAAGCTGGCTAGTTTTTGGGCTTAACCGTCCTTCAGTGAGTATAGTAAAAAGGTAGTTGTGCTGGTGGCTGACAAGGAGCCACATTTCAGTATGCTACTTTTGAGCTAGACTGTGCTGACGGGTCTATACTNATTTCAGTATGCTACTTTTGAGCTAGACTGTGCTGACGGGTCTATACTCTACCCCTTTAGTAGTGCACTAATTAGAGAGATTGGAACTGA